TACAGCCATGGGTGGCCTAGCCCCTTTTCATCAATTGGCAAGAAAACAACGATTTTCACATTTTCACAGTTGCAATCATTCAAGTCCATATTGTTGATATGACTGGCTAACTACAATGTTAACTAGGAGCTAGCTAACATTGTATGTAGTTGGTTGCTTTTCCATAGTAGTTAAGTAGTTTAAACCTTGTACTAGACATAGTTTTATTTATGATTGTTAATCAAATATACACAGACTGCGAAGCCCTCAACGTGTTGTGTTTTTGTGTTCTTCTGATCTTGCTTTTTTGTCTGCCTGCCTGTTTAGTAGTCAGTCATTTCTAGCTACCCCTCTTTGTGTGCTCAAAAATTCAAGGCTTATTTTCAATTTCAGACGACTGCTGGCTGACTCACGACTTATCGAGCAAAATGCAAGATTAGTTTTTCTTCACGAAAGGGATGGTGAGTACATCAGTTTTATATTTCAGTATATTTCAGTACTTGATCATCTTCCTCGTCAGACTGAACATTTTTCACTCAATATTCAACATATCGATCTATTCAAAGACTACTGAAACAGCCTTCCCACATGTGTCGGCTTGTTTCTGCAGCCGCCGAGTTGTCAATAGCCAAAATGGTAGTTCATACTTACCTGACGGGGAAGACAACGTGATCAAGAAGGCGTTTCTTCCAGGGTGAGGCCCTTCCATTGCAGTTCGGTTGGGCTGACCCCTGCGATTACCCCAAACGTGGGTAACTCGACCGTACAATTTCTGGTAGTGGGGACCTGCGTTCGCGCTAGTCCCCTCACAATAGTCTAAAGGATCCAGCCAACCCAAGCAGTATCCCACAAGCAGTTCCTCAAATAAAATTGCCCATTGCGCCTTCTTGATCACTCTCAATATACAATATACAATATACAATAGAGGTAGATTGTTATACAAAGATTTGTCATTGTTTGCTTTGCCTTTGTCTGCCTTAACCTTGTTCGTCGTCTGCCGTAGTAATGTTGTCTTAAATATGATCCTTTCAAGCAGGACAATCATCGTTTCTGAAATGTTATGGCTTTAGCATGCCTATCTTGTAGCATTTGATAAAAAAGGCCAAATTAATTCAAGTTCAACACAGAAAAAATCTTCCTGTCCAAATATACATACTTTGCAACTTTCAGAGCAGCATGTTGCAAATCTCAAGCAAACCTATCTTCAATTCAAATTCAAATTCGAATTTATTTAATGCATCAAAATATGTTATAAAAGTTTGTCTATAATTATACTAAATAGCAATAATCAAGAAGCAATGATAAGAGCTTCATAGTGTCAATTAGCATTTGAGAATTAGAAACTTGGTAAAGTCAATTTGACAAAGTGAAAATGAAAGTCAAAACAATTCAGGCAAAAATTGAGGCAAGGATTACTGTATTATTGCAAGAAGATTCTTGGGCCTCTGGAAATCTGCATGGCCTATTTTTCACAATTCCAAATCAAATACTTTTTTTAAAAGCTATTCGTTCTAATAGCCATTTGTAGGGATGATTGCAGTTTTTTATTTCCCTTACATGGTTTCATGGTTTGTTCTAATTGTTGGAGTGGCAAGATGCTTTTTGGTTGCTTAGCGGGTTTGATATCCATGTCAAGAAATCTAACTTGCAGCCAAGCTGACCATCATTACTGGGGATGAGCTGCCTGCACTTGAACGAGTCTCGACAACAACCAACCCCCCCCCCCAATACCCATTCTGAAGATTATGTAACTTAATTTCGGAAAAAATCTTGGATATTTTGGCAATTTTTGCAGCATAAAATTGAAAATATTGATTTTCATGAGTAGGCTTCAATAAGCTGGGCTTTCAGGGATTGTTCAATTCCCAATAATTACATGACAGGCCAATTGTGAAAGTGTCTTCGATGGATACCAAAGTGACTTGTAAGAAAGAACAATCACAAAAGCATTTTGATTCAAGGAGTTCAAAAAACCATCACTGATCTCTTATCGTTCGACGTTCGAACTATGGTGAACCTTTCCTTCAATTGTATAAACTCTTTGGGTTTGCCACTATGCCGAGTAATGAACAAGTGTCTATATGCAAGGTTTCGGCTTTCTTAGAATCATATCATCAGTCAGTGACAGAATGCAGTCATAGAACAGCTTCCATCCTCTCATCTTCTCAGTTTATCCCGTTCTCCAATCCGACTGCCACAAGGAAAGCTGAAAGTTAAGTTTAATCTTCTTCCCAATGATAGTCTAGTGGTCTTTTTGCCTCTTGGGTCACGGGGAGGCTCGTTCATGAATAGATAGTAAGAGGAAGCACAACAACACGGAGCAACAGCGCGCGCTGTAGAACTTAAGCCATATTTTTTCGAAGAAAGCGACTTTCCCTGCTGTTGCAGCTCACAACTGCTGCTGCATGCTGCTGAGTGGCCATGTGAAGCCGAATAACTCATTCACTAACTCACTTACCTCGACGACGTTCTTCAACATCCACAGATTGACTACTTTGCTGCTGGAGTGAGGGAGCAGGCAGGCAGGCAGGCAGGCAACAGGCAAAAAAACTGAGCGCTCCGCAAGCAACGAGGCAGACTTGTGGAGAGTCTGAACTGAAGACATGAGACTGGGTATCGCTTCTCGGCCTTTTGGCTAAGATCGCCCCAACAGCTTTAGAGGATACATGCTTAGACACCCTTGAGACTCCCACCATAGAGTCTCTCCAAGGGGTGTCTATAACTCTTTTTGAGGGGCAAACATGGCCGAGGGGCTGGCTCTAAATAAGGGCCCAGAACAAGATCCCACAAGTGTGGCGGAAAACTTCGAGACTAATACGTCCAAACGTCCCACATGCACAGAGATTGAGATTGTCAATGATTCACAGGAAAACGCCACAGCAGATATACTTGGTACACCACAAAGCAGCGACTATGACTCGGATGACATGTTTGAAGAAAGGAGGCGATTAAGGGACCACCAACAGAATCTCGGCCAGGCTTCAAAACCAAGACCTCTGTACGCAACGCTTGCTGCTGGTACCCTCAACCAGAGGATTTTTACCGGAAGATCAGACGGCAGTAGGAGGAGCCCCCTGGAGAGGAACCTCCCAAGGTCTGTCAGCATACATTCTCCAGATGGAGTAATCAACTGCAGGTCGCTGCTTGAACGTCTTAACCGTCAGGGCTTGGAGCCGAAACAGCTCAGGCTTTTACCAAACAACGACGCCGAAATCACTTTCGCTACAATTAAAGATAGGGAGAAGTTCTACAGGCTCCCTTTTGTCTCTAGACCTGCTGCACGGTCCTGGGAACCGAGGATGAGGAATCCACCACCGATTTGGGTGCGCATCCGTAACAAACCAGAGGAGCTGCTCTTTGAAGTGATTCAGAAAAAATTCTCCGCTTTTGGGCGCATCCTGTTTGCTCGAGAGAACACATTTCTGGGGTCAAATACCAAAAACGGAATAATTACGCTGAAAATGGTGATCTCTAACCCGATACCAAGCTATGTCCACATTGGTCCGTATTGCCTTATCGTCAACCATGACAACCAACCTCAGACATGCCGCAAATGCGACAGCCCAGACCACCTCGCAAGAGAGTGCGCAGCAGTCAGATGCTTCAATTGTGGAGAACGTGGCCACACAAATGCTGCCTGCCCAGCTGGTCGCCAATGCCATGGATGTGGATCACCTGACCACCACCTAGTGCAGTGCTCAGCTTCTTGGGTCCCTGAACCGTCTGAAGAATCGGACAGTGACACAGAAGGATCGCAGGCAGACGAAGACGCACATCCTCCGGATGACAATAGACCACCGGCACCCTCTTACAAGATAAGAACTCTTGCAACAACGGATGAAATGTCAGCGGATGTAGAGGGTCAACCAGACTGCACCTCTCTGAACACCCCCGAAACAACTGAAGCCACCCATGAGGACGAGCCTCTTTCAACAGCCGAAGAATTGATCCAAACAGGTTCTTGGGGAGACCAACCCGAAGGTGAACTGTCTGAAGTAAATCGCTTTCCTTCTCCTCTTTTCGTATCGGTGGATGCTCCCTTGGCCTCTTCTAAGAGGGCCCTTCCAGACGATGGCGTCTCTGACGTGTCGGCTGTAAGGAGACCCTCCACCAAGAAGAGGCCGAAGGGTCGCCGTCCTCCACAACTCTCCTCTTCTTAAATAATGATGATTGTAGGGGCCCCCCTCCACTTTGAGCATGGCAGCAATTAAAATATTATCAATCAATGTCCACGGTCTCAGAGATCCTTGCAAATGTTCTAAGGTGGCAACATGGCTTTCAGGTAGAGAAGAAATGATTTTTTTCCTGCAGGAAACATATTTTGCAGAACCCAGTGACCTCCGCTACCTAGAATCACTTTGGAGGGGTAAAATATTCAGCTCTTTTGGCACAAACCATAGCAGAGGAGTTCTAATACTATTCAAGGACTCCCTGCCTCTCAATAGCCACCACACAACAAGCGACAACGAGGGACGATGGATAAATGTTGTTGCAGAGATAAATAACTCCAAACTTCAACTTTTCAACATCTATGCTCCTTGTCCAGTTGGGGAAAGAGCAACGTTTTTCGATTTGCTGCCATCTCACATAAGAGGGGGGCTCCCTACAATTATCGGTGGTGATTTAAACTGTATAGACGATCTCTATTTAGATAAACTCGGCGGTGACACTCAACCAGGGAAGACAGCTCTTAATTCTCTTCGAGCCTTAACATCCGCATTTAGCTTAGTAGATATTTTTAGATCGATGCATCCCTCTGCCCAGGTCTTTACATGGACCAATTCAAAAGTATCATCGCGTTTAGACAAATTTTTGGTCTCCCCTGAGATTTTAGACAACACCACACACGCAGACATTACCATTTTCCCTTTCTCAGACCACGATGCCCCCACACTCTGTTTCAGCCAACCAAACTGTCCACCCCGAGGGCGGGGAGTTTGGAAGTTCAATACAAGCCTACTAGAATATGACGAGTTTACAGCAAAAATGAAAGCATTCCTAACATTCTGGTCCTCTCGCAAAAAAGATTTTGCGGGAAAGCTAGATGTTTGGTGGGATATTGGTAAAAAGAAAATACGGGGCAGATGTAAAACCTTTTCTAAGAAGCTTGCTAAAGAAAAAAAACAAAGAAGAAAAGACTTAGAAGATGAACTCCAAGCGATTTCATTTTCAACTAACCCTGAAGACAAAATTAAGGCAAACCTCATACGCAAAGAAGTAGAGCTGATCGACATGAACGCAATAAATGGGGCCCGAATTAGATCTAAGGCCCTTGAATACCAATCTAATGAAAAATCCTCAAGATATTTCTTCTCCCTTGAAAACTCCCGGCAAGCCAAAAAAGTTATAAAAAAACTTAAAACCCCCACAGGCAAAATTATTGAGGATGGCCACGAACTGCTTGACTTCATCGCCGAGTTTTATCAATCATTATATTCCAATGAATGTACTGACCCTCTAAATGAATCTCTCCTCTTAAACTCTATCGATAAATTCGTTCCCGATGAACTAAAATCTCTCCTTGATGAACCACTTTCCAAAGACGAATGCCTGATTGCCCTAAAAGATATGAAACCTGACAAATCTCCTGGCTCGGACGGCCTCCCAGCAGAATTCTATACCTTCTTCTGGGACATAATGGGTGAACACCTAGTTGAGGTTTTTAATTTTTGTTATTCGCGTGGTCTACTTACCGAATCTATGCGGCTAGCCATTCTGAGCCTTCTTTACAAAAAAGGTGATATAGAACTCCTTAAAAACTGGCGCCCAATCTCTTTATTAAATGTAGATTACAAAATCAGCTCAAAAGCCTTTGCACTGAGACTCCAACAAGTGCTTCCATTTGTCCTCAACGAAGATCAAACATGTTCCGTTCCTGGTCGTTCCATCTTTGAAAATTTAATGCTAGTCAGAGATAGTATTGATTATTGTAACGAAAAATCCCTCCCCCTTGCTCTTGTTAAGATAGACCAAGAAAAAGCTTTTGACAGAGTTAATTGGTCATTTCTGGAAAAAGTACTATTACGAATGAATTTTGGCCGTACCTTTATCTCTTTTGTTAAAACAATGTACAACTCTGTAGCCTGCAGAATTCAAAACAACGGCCACCTTTCTAAAAATGTTCTTTTGCAAAGAGGGGTTAGGCAAGGCTGCCCACTCTCCCCCCTTTTTTACTGCCTGGTAGCTGAAACACTGGGAAACATCATTCGGAATAACAAGAAAATTGATGGTCTGTCCCTCCCTGGCTCCAAAATGGTTGTAAAAATTTCCCAATATGCTGATGACACTACACTTTTCCTTCGCAACAACTTTTCAGTGGATGAAGCCCTTTCATGCATCAAATTATACGAACGGGGATCTGGCTCTAAAGTTAATTATGATATTGGCAAGTCATGTGGAAAGTGGTTCAACAAACCCCATTGTGTCTCAATTTCACCTTCCTCTCCCCTCCAATGGACAAATGGCCCATTTGAAGTTTTAGGCCTCCTCTTTGGTACCGACACAGCCATTTCAGATTGCTGGATAAAACGGGTAGAAAAAGTTACAGGCAGGCTTCAAGCTTGGAAACATAGATCCCTTTCTCTCAAAGGAAAAACGCTCATTATTAACTCCATCGCCCTCTCAGGAATTGTTTTTGTTGGCACAGTTTTTAACCTGCCACTTCCTATTGAAAAACAGATCAACCAAACCGTGTTTCGCTTCTTGTGGTCGGAAAAAAATGAGCTTGTGCAAAGAAATACTATGTACCTCCCTATTGACCAGGGTGGTCAAGGCGTAACTGACATCAAACGCAAAGTGAAAGCCTTACACTTAAAATTTCTCCAGCACATCATTGATGAACAATACCAAGCCCCCTGGGCGCTCTTCGCCCGTTATAACATAGGTGTCCAACTGATTAAACACCTTCCCTCAGCCCACTTCCTCAGGTCAAACCTCGTTCCTCACGCCCTAAAACCATCTGCCCACTATTCGCGCCTCCTTTCACTATGTGACTTGCATAAAAACAAAATTGCCTCTTTTAGTATCCTCGGTACATCTGTTAAAACGATTTATAACAGTTTACTTTCCCATATCGATGCCAGTCCCAACCTTGTCCTCAAATGGAATGCCATCACACCCCTTCCCTGCCAATGGAAAATCCCTTGGAGAAATACCCTCTCTGGCCCCTCCCTAGGCCACGAAAACGATCTTCTTTGGAAAATATACCACCAAGTTGTCAAAACAGCAGTTTACCTCAAATCTTGGGGCCTGAACATATCTGAGCTCTGCGACCACTGCAATACACCAGAAGATATCTCCCACATATTTCTCGCATGCCCTGTTGCTAGCAAAATACTAAAATTCCTTAAACCCTTACTGGTGAACCTTACCGGTACCTTCAGCCTTGACCCATCCTTTATGTTTTTCTTCAACTTCCCACCTAATCTCCATAGAAATGCCCGCCTTCTTGCCCATTACCTTCTAAAACTGTATTTTTTCTGTACCTGGATGCATAGATGTGACCGCCGCTTTGAGAAGAAAGCCCCTGACCCCACAGCTGTTATTTCGAAAATTAAGTCCGAAATTAAGAACAGGATCAATATTGCTCTTTCTTCGCCGGCGCTAGCTATAAAAGAGCTCCCAATCTGGCGTTATGACCAAATTCTTTTTTCTCTAGAAAACAATGACATCAAGTTTCATATATAACAGGTGTCCGAACTATTTCTATCGGGAGGCCATGGTGCGCATGGCCAACGTGTAATCACTTTTAATTTGTTTCAACACAATGTAATTAGCCACGTTTAGTTTTGTTACGAAAATTGCAGTTGTATTATGATCAGTTTGTAAATATCCAATTTTAGATCTCGTATCTCAATTTAGTTTGTTCATTAAAATTCAGTCACCTAACATGCAATAAATCAAACGTTAAATAGCCGATTCACGAACTATCTGTCTTTCATCCATTATCACATATCATTGTTTAATTTTGTTTTAATGTTGACAAGGGAGTCTTCTGCACAAAAGGGGCAGTCGCTCACCCTTTAATATTGTCAAGTATAGTGGAATTGTAACATGAAAAGTCTCTTCCTGACCCCACTGTTTACCAGGGGGCAGGTGGGAAAAAAAAAAAAAAAAAAAAAAAAAAAAAAAAAAAAAAAAAAGTATCTGTTCTTATCAGCTTAATATCTGATATGCGCCCAAGGGCGCTCAAATATTAAACTGATTTTTGGAACTAGCTTGTCGGCATGAGGCTTGCCTCACCGCGAGCACGGGTTGCCCTGGCATTGCAGTACAGCCATGGGTGGCCCAGCCCCTTTTCATCAATTGGCAAGAAAACAACGATTTTCACATTTTCACAGTTGCAATCATTCAAGTCCATATTGTTGATATGACTGGCTAACTAACTACAATGTTAACTAGGAGCTAGCTAACATTGTATGTAGTTGGTTGCTTTTCCATAGTAGTTAAGTAGTTTAAACCTTGTACTAGACATAGTTTTATTTATGATTGTTAATCAAATATACACAGACTGCGAAGCCCTCAACGTGTTGTGTTTTTGTGTTCTTCTGATCTTGCTTTTTTGTCTGCCTGCCTGTTTAGTAGTCAGTCATTTCTAGCTACCCCTCTTTGTGTGCTCAAAAATTCAAGGCTTATTTTCAATTTCAGACGACTGCTGGCTGACTCACGACTTATCGAGCAAAATGCAAGATTAGTTTTTCTTCACGAAAAGGATGGTGAGTACATCAGTTTTATATTTCAGTATATTTCAGTACTTGATCATCTTCCTCGTCAGACTGAACATTCTTCACTCAATATTCAACATATCGATCTATTCAGAGAGTACTGAAACAGCCTTCCCACATGTGTCGGCTTGTTTCTGCAGCTGCCGAGTTGTCAATAGCCAAAATGGTAGTTCATACTTACCTGACGGGGAAGACAACGTGATCAAGAAGGCGTTTCTTCCAGGGTGAGGCCCTTCCATTGCAGTTCGGTTGGGCTGACCCCTGCGATTACCCCAAACGTGGGTAACTCGACCGTACAATTTCTGGTAGTGGGGACCTGCGTTCGCGCTAGTCCCCTCACAATTGTCTAAAGAATCCAGCCAACCCAAGCAGAATCCCACAAGCAGTTCCTCAAATAAAGCCGCCCATTGCGCCTTCTTGATCACTCTCAATATACAATATACAATATACAATAGAGGTAGATTGTTATACAAAGACTTGTCATTGTTTGCTTTGCCTTTGTCTGCCTTAACCTTGTTCGTCGTCTGCCGTAGTAATGTTGTCTTAAATATGATCCTTTCAAGCAGGACAATCATCGTTTCTGAAATGTTATGGCTTTAGCATGCCTATCTTGTAGCATTTGATAAAAAAGGCCAAATTAATTCAAGTTCAACACAGAAAAAATCTTCCTGTCCAAATATACATACTTTGCAACTTTCAGAGCAGCATGTTGCAAATCTCAAGCAAACCTATCTTCAATTCAAATTCAAATTCGAATTTATTTAATGCATCAAAATATGTTATAAAAGTTTGTCTATAATTATACTAAATAGCAATAATCAAGAAGCAATGATAAGAGCTTCATAGTGTCAATTAGCATTTGAGAATTAGAAACTTGGTAAAGTCAATTTGACAAAGTGAAAATGAAAGTCAAAACAATTCAGGCAAAAATTGAGGCAAGGATTACTGTATTATTGCAAGAAGATTCTTGGGCCTCTGGAAATCTGCATGGCCTATTTTTCACAATTCCAAATCAAATACTTTTTTTAAAAGCTATTCGTTCTAATAGCCATTTGTAGGGATGATTGCAGTTTTTTATTTCCCTTACATGGTTTCATGGTTTGTTCTAATTGTTGGAGTGGCAAGATGCTTTTTGGTTGCTTAGCGGGTTTGATATCCATGTCAAGAAATCTAACTTGCAGCCAAGCTGACCATCCTTACTGGGGAT